TCCGAGTTCAGTGCCACACTAACAATTGTACTATACAACATGCATTCACTAGATGAGCTGACTAATGGCATATGTAAGAATACATATAAAATAATGATAAGTACTGGTGAGATAAACATCATTGTGCGACTGAGGGTTCTGCATCTCAGAGCTCACACACCCCTCTAGCATTTCTAAGATACGCTTGTGTATCTGGGGTGAGATTTGAAACTGCATCAGGAAGTGTACGTCTGGCCAATTTACTCCGTTAAGTCTTGGGGCATCTACGCTAGTCAGCTACTGAAGTGTCTTGGCACTGACTGAGATATCCAACTGAATGTCGTATTTTACTAAAGAGACTCGTGTGTCCTGACTATTTCCTGAGTGTCAAACAAGGCTAGTTTTATGTTATCCTAGTTGTTACTGTTTCTAGTTGTTATGAGTTTATTATTGTTCTTATTTGTAGTTTCTTTTCATGGCATTTTTGTGTAATTGGATCTCTCAATTCTGCCCCTTAAAGCTCATGGGTTCCTTACCTAAAACTGTTCGTAGGTATCGATACTAAGCCTTCAGTATCGGTACTTGCCTGTAGGTATCGATACTAACATTTGAGTATCGATACTATTGAGTTATTTGAGACGAATGACAAAGGGTTGGTATCGATACTCGATCTAGAGTATCTATACTTTTGGTCTAGGGTATCAATACCTTCCTAAGTATTAATACCAAATTTGGCTTCGATGTTTTGAAAAATACCTACGTATCGGTACCCCAATAGAGAGTATTGATACTAGTATCGATACCCCTATAAGTATCGATACCAAAATTGTATACTAGAATCTGTTAAGTGAACTCAATATCGATACCACCTTGTGAGTATCGATACCCTACCTATAGAATTGATACCCATTGAAGGAGTATCAATATTTCTATCCCCAAAATCCCTTTATTTTTAGCATATGATGAATAATATCGATATTGTTCTTACAGTACCGATAATCATGCCCAGAAATACTCTGTTTTATGCACGAAAGATGATAATTTTCCTCCCCAAATACCCTACTAGGATTCCCAATTGTTATTCAAGTGTTATGTCTGAATATAAGGGTCATAATAAGGTTGTAAACATGTTGAAAAACCTAAATGTTGAATCTACCATGAGCATTCTCCATAACTTATACAACTTACCAAAACACATCTAATGACCTATATGTGGTAGAGTTGTGTTAAAAGTGAGTTACTTTAGCTTTCTAAGCTGCTGGAAGTGCCCAAAGCTCAACCAAGAACTAACTTCTCCTTATCCTTAGCCTTGGAGCTTTCTCCTACTTTTCTCATTGGGCAAAAATCAAACACTTGTGTTACTAGCTTAATTTAAATGTTAAGAAAAGATCATAAACCATTTCTAATGCTTGGAATTCTCAAAATGGGCTGACTTACTATGGAATTATAAACCCCCACTAAAACCCACATTTTTTTAATCATGGGAACATGAGGAGATTGAGAGCTTAAAATAATGCTAGGAACGATGGGATTACAACTCTTACCTTGCTGAATCAAGTTGGTGATGCTGGAAAATAATGCTAGAGTCTTTAGAGAAATCACAAAGAAGATGAAGAGAAAAGCTTTGAAGGAGGAAGAAGACAACTTTTGGGAAATAAGGGAATGACACATGTTGCACGATTACATCACCCTTAATGATTTTTAGCCTTTTATTCAAATGAAGGGTTATTTATACTTTTAGTCATTCATTCTTTGTCTTAAGATTAAAAATATCATTTTTATGTCCTATTAGACCCTACCAAGCCCAAATCTAAAACCCACTTGGTTCATGACTTTCTACAATGCTAACGAATTTATCCTAAGGCTCACTCGGGTTAATTCAAAACTACTAACCTAAGATTTGGGGTGTTACATGTTTAATTTTAACAAATGTGATATCTCTTTTAAACATTATATCTATAGGTTTTTCGGACTGAAAAACAACTCCGACCTCATTTTCCATAATCTATCCATTTAGGGATGTAAATAAATTGAGCTTGAATAAACAAGACTATGCTCGTGTTCGTTTGTTTATTTTTAAAGGTGCTCATTTTCGGTTCGTGTTTGTTTAATTTTTTAATATCATGTTTGTGTTAGTTTATTTTATTTTTAAAAGTGTTTGTGTTTGTTTATTTAACGTTCGCGAACGTGTTCATTTAATGTTCGCGAATAGTTTCGTTTAGCGTTCGCGAATATGTTCGCGAACAGCTTCGTTTAGCGTTCGTGAACATGTTCTTTTAACGTTTGTGAACATGTTCGTTTAGAACATATTCGTTTAGAGTTCGCGAACATATTCTTTTATACATGTTCAAAAATGTTACAAAAAAACAGAAAATAACAAATTAAATAGAATAAATACAAAGGAACCAGATTAAAAAAACAATTCGTTTATATAAGCTTTCAACCAGTCTGTTTGACGTTCAAAAGAAGAATGTAATTTGAAGAAATAAACTCAATTTAAGCTCTAACTAAATACAAGTGAAATCATGAGCTGATAAAGAACCCAATTTCAATTATGCAAAAACAAGTAAGATAAATAATAATAAATACAATTTAAGGAAGAAATGATGGAGAAATCAAAGAAAGAAAACTTGTGACCTCTCTCAATATATTTCATAGCAACAAACTACTTGGTTTCCTTGTGTTTGAAGAGTCGAGCAACCCCAAAATTGTTGACTCCCGAATCATTATCGTCTTTTTGTTTAGGAGTGGTAATTATTATATTGGTATTGTTATTCAGTGGGAGAAAAGAGATTCAAAGATGTAATGAACTAAAGATCCATACATGTATATTGAGAGATATATTTGAAATTCTAGCGAAACAAATCTTACCAAAAGAGAAAAGAGAAAAAGAAAAGAGAAACATGAATCTAATAAGGAAATTTTACCTTATTGTTACCATGGTCGAACAGAAAGAAGCATCAGTGAAACATGGGAAAATCTTACAAACCCAACAATGAAAACTCTTATAAAAAGATTAATAGAAACATAGGATTTGATAGATCTTAACACAGATGATAGTTTAAGGTTGATAAATATCATGAAAAAAGGGGGAAATGAAGCTTAGAAGAGAACGGCTGGAAAGGGAGTAGAGAGACCAGGAAAAGGGGTTTTGTCTTACAATTAGGAAACAAATGGTAAAAGTACACAATTGATAATTAAACTTCTTAAATTTCATAATTTAAACTCTAAATTTTATCATGTATTCAATTTAGTATGTACCTTCATTAATATTTAGAATATAAAAAATTAAATGAGCTTATAAAGTGAGTTTGTTCGTGAACATACAAAGTGAGATTGTTCGTGAATATAAACAAATCAAACACACCAATGTTCTTGTTCATTCGTTTATTAAACGAACATAAAAAAAATTGTTTTGTTTATTAAACGAACATAAAAAATTTATTTATATTCGTTTATTTAGCTTAATTAACAAACATAAACGACCGTTATGCGAACAATTCACTGAACACTCTGTTCTTTTACACCCATATGTCCATTATAACCGACAATCATGAAAAATTTGTTGCTCATTTTCTCTACAAATTAAAAGTTTTATTTAGAATAAAAAATACAAATATATAAAATAGTTATAATATGATCATATCATGATAACAATAAATCGTAAAATGATATTATAAAAATAATATTAACATAACAATAAATCGTATAATACAACTATAAATATTATAAAAATGATATTAACATAACAATAAATCATAAAATACTTCAAATAAAATTTCTTCGTACTTACATGATTGTTTCTTTCGATAACTTGATTTGAAAAAAAATCTTTCGATCACTCTTTTGTCTGCAAAAAAATTAATATATTAAATAAATAATATTTAATAGAATGATATGAGAAAAATATAAATAATATAAATAAATTTACCATATAATACTTAACAACAACAACAACAACAAAACTCTATTCCCATATGCAATGGGAGTAAGGGGAGGTAGGGTAGTAGGTTGCCCCCAACGTCAGGTTGAGAGCAGCTTCCGTGAAAGACCTCCGGCAGTTAGAAAATAAAAAATAAAGATAAAATGCATTGCATGTATAAATAAATAAATAAATACATAGTTGAACAGTCTTCATATACGCGTCTGTAATAGAAAATAATCCCTGTAAATAAATCCTTGCGTAAAAATCTCTGCATATAGACAGTACCATATAATATTTACTCAACTCAAAATAACGAAAGAAAAAGACGTATCAAATTTTTCTAAAATGCTTCCTCTATCAATCTTCTCTGCAAATGCTAATTTTATCAATTATTACTTATCTCAATCTTCTGCTTCTTTTTTGGTTTTATGATATCCATTTTTGAACTTATTCATACGTACGTACGTATATACATATATATACATATATATATATATATATATATATATAGCTAACAATTTTATGAGAATCAAATTTTCAACTGCTCACCTGTGCTATAGTCAAATTGAAGACGCATTGTCCTCCAACACCTCTTTTTAGATCGAAGACGTATGACGTTTCGTGTGACACACATCGATTAAATTAGAGGCGTATTATGCTGTATGCGTTTTCCATGTGACGCCATGATTGCTATGCATTTTTGCCACATTACTATAATAGTCATCCTAGACTAATAAATAATTCTATGGGTGCATTATCTCATGATTTTTTTCAACCCGTAGTTTAAGTAATTTTGCTTGTGTTAAGATTAGAATCATTAAATTTGTGAGATATTTGATTAATTATATGACATAATAAAATAAATTTATAATTTATACATAATATCAGGATTAATAATACAATTTAACAAAAATGAAAAAATTGCAATTTTGTAATAATAACCGGGAAATTATTGTCCGGTGAATCTATAGTTTGCCTGTTTGTAAAGTCTTAGTAAGCACACACACTTTGTCCTTCCCCTTCTCCTGTTCCCCACTCCACTTATACTCATTTCATTGCCTTTTCCCCATTTCGTATATTTTATTTTAGTTTTTAGGTTAGGGTTCTTTTGGGGGCTAAAATATTTGCATCAATCGCCATCGGCATAATCGAGATTGGGTTTTGAGATTTTGATTTTTAAGAATCGTTAAATCAGGGGAGGGTTGAGAGATAGGGGCATGGAGAATGGTCACGATCGGAAATTGGCTGAAAAGCTATCGGGTTTGGCCCTCAACGACGATAGCTTGTTTCAGGTCATGAAAGCTGTTGAGGCCGCCGAAGCCACCATTAAGCAACAGGTCTTCTTCTTCTTCTTCTTTAGTTGCTATGATAGAAGAAAAGTATTTATTTTTTTTGCATCTATGCTCAGGCGGAAGAGAATTGTCGGTTGAGGTCCGAGCTCCAGAAGAAACTTGAGCAGCTCGAAAAATATGTAGGAAAATTAAATCTTTTGTTTTCATTTTAGTTATTAATGAAGCTCTATATTTTCTTCGTGCTTTGTCCATGCCTCAATTTACTTATATTTTATGGAACAGAAAGAGGAAAGTGTTAACAATCAAAATGCTTCTGCAAAGGAAGCTACCGATACCATCTTAAATGGTACTTTGAAAGCATTTTCTGCTGCTGCTGCTTCTGATAGTAATACGGGTCCTGCTATTTCTCGTCTCTCTTCGCCCTCTACGGCTACCACTTTTTCGCCAACCAGGTTCTTCTTACATTGCATTAGTCCTTGCATTGTATTTACATCAAACATGGGATTTTCTTATTCGTTTCTTTTAAAATGTTAGGTACCAGTTAGAAGAAGAATACAGTTCTAGATTGCCACAGGGTCTCATACCAATGGCTAATTCCAATTCCATTTGGAAACAGGTTCCTTCGTGTCCTTTTGTAATATGCTGAAGTATTTTTTCTTTTAGATTTTTTATGGACTGCTAGCTTCAAGTTTTCTTCAGGATGCTTCTATCAAGGGTCGAGAAAATGAGGAAGTGATTTTGCAGATGCGCAAACAGCTTGCTGAATTTTCCGTCAAGGTTATGTCTTGCTTCTTTTCCCCCTTCTGTTTTCATTCATGTTAATTCTGGATTTTTAATTATTCATGGTTATTCTTGCAGGAAGCACAAATTCGTAATGAAAAATATGTTCTTGAAAAGCGAATTGCTTATATGCGTCTGGTAGGCACTAGCCTAGTGTTCCCTTCTGTTCAGCTCCTTGTTCATGAAAGTAAATATATTAATAGGTTTTTGAGTTTTTGTCACCAGGCCTTTGATCAACAACAACAGGACCTTGTTGATGCTGCCTCTAAAGCTCTCTCTTATAGGCAAGACATAATTGAGGAAAATATTCGTCTAACATATCAGTTACAGGTATTTTTCATTTCTTAATGTTATTTATTTTTTCACCTTGAGGGATAATGTTTTTCTTTTCCTTTTCACATTGATCCTTGTCCCCTCATTTTCTGTAGGTCGCAAACTTGCAATGTTCCTGGATTCTTTTTGGGTGTTAAAACTTAATGCTCAAACTATTTCAGATGTGAAATCACTTTTTCTTTCTTCACTAAATTCATTTTAAAAAGAAAAAAACTTTTGTCACGATGATGAACTTATGCATGTCTGCCAATATATTGTAATGTTGTATATTATTATGATGATTAGGGTCATGTTTGTTATTAACGATTTACACTTCAATGTTCTATATCTGGTCCTCTTTTTTCAGGCTGCGCAGCAAGAAAGAACAACTTTTGTGTCCTCTTTGCTTCCACTATTGGCGGAATATTCCCAGCGGCCAACAGTTCCTGATGCTCAATCCATTGTAAGCAACGTCAAGGTCAGTTTCTAAATGCTCTATCTATTTTTTTATGCAAACCCTTTAACAAGTTGCAAGAAAACCAAGATGCATGTATTATGTATCTATATTGATATGATTTTCCCCCTTATCTCAAATGAAAGTTCACCATTCAGTCCTATCAAGAATAATATCATAGTGCAGCTTACATACATCAATGCTATTTATAGGGGTAGATATGTTCCTTGCCAGATATTAAAAAATGATCATAATTGGTATGAGCATCTTATCTATCCAAATAATCAAAGTTGTGAGGCGCAAAAGCGCAAAGGCTCACTGAACAGAGCTTTTTCAACACTGAAGCAAGGCACGTAGCCTAGGCGCAGCGAAGCTCTAAGGCGCGAGGCGCAATTGAGGCGCGATGTGGGCTTAAAACCTTGTAATTATTACTGGAGGGCCTTCTGTCCTATGGGCCGACCCCCTAAAACCCTCAATCGACTGTCAATCGGCCTTCTAATCCACACATACTAACCTATCGATCGACCGCTTCCTCCTTTTCTTCGACTAGCGACGTTGAACAAGACAGCAGCAACACTTCGATTAATCGATTCACACATTCAATTCTTCTCGTAAGTGATTATGTTCTTTGATTGATCCTTCGATTTACACTGAAGAAGAAGACATTGGGGATTGTGAGACGGATGAGGAGGAAGATGATGATGAGGATGAGTTTGATGTTTGATGATGATTATCAGTGACTTTATTTGATGTTTTGTTTATGCATGTTGGATGTTTTTGTTAAACTTAGTACTTGATTATGCTTGTTGATAGCTTTTATGACGTTAGGTTGGTATTTTGAGTTTGAGAATGAACTCTATTGAAGCCTAATATTGGGTATCTATTCTATTATTTTTTTTTTAATATGATGAAACATCTATATTGACTGGATTATCTTGACAGTATTTTGGCTTAGTTATGATGAAATATAATAAAATAGGAAGAATAAAAGGTAGGATTCTTAAAATATTAAATTAAAAAAATGCATGTCTTATGAACTTCATTGCCATTGTAATCATTAGACAACAAGATGTCATTTTTGTTTTCGTACATTCTTTTTATTTTGCCATTTTTGGAACTTTCTTGTGTTTCTGTAGCACAGTATACAACATAATGTACCTGTATCTATCCACTTTTATCCTTGATATTTCTGAAGAGTGTGTAGAAAAATGACATATATTTGATAAGGACTCAAAACATAAGAGTGAAGAATTATTTTGAATGAGTCGAAACATCCGTTTCTTCTCTTTAAATCAGAGTTATGAAGTTACTACTGGACTCTTGCAGGTTCTATTTAAACATCTGCAAGAGAAGCTTCTTATCACTGAGGTATGTTACATTGAATAAGTTTATAATAACTGGAGGCATTTTCTTTTCCAGTTCTGATGGAGTTAGCCTGTGCTAATCATGGTTTGAGATTTTGAGCATCATGGTGATTATAAATACTTAATTATGTTTATGTTTTATTTTCCTGGCCTCAGTCAAAGCTAAAGGAATCGCAGTATCAGTTGACACCTTGGCGGTCGGATGTCAATCATTCCAATTTTGCTCCCCAATCCCCGTCTCATTCCCTTGGTGCAACATTGACAGCTTCAGTATGCTTATAATATATTCTTTGGATATGTACTTCTATTCCAGTACGGTATTCTTATTCCTATACTTTCTTGCAGAACAAAAATGGTCTCGAATTGGTTCCGCAGTTGGTTTTTTCCCAAGGAAAGGCACAGATAATCTCTGATGCTCAAACAGACTCCAATTGGGATCTACCTGGTCAGCACCAAGGTGGCTTGGGTGGTGGCATTGCTTTAACAAATTTGGAACCTGATGATTTGGGGAGGTATTCACCCATAGCAAGCAGGTGAGCCTGGTCAAATAGAAACTGCTATTGTGAACTGAATGTACAAATTACAACCATCTTCTTTTGTTGGTGGATTATGTTTTCATTGAATTCCTTTTGGTGCCTTGTATGCATAAATCATTTCAAAAGCTAGATTTTCAGGATGAGCCAATATGAATCTTCTCTTGTGACATTATATTGCCTCTGCATTTTGGAGAAATAGTCAAACGAGGATAAAGTAGTCGATAATCCATATGAATAGTTTTTGGAGTGGACATTTTTTTTACTTGTAATCTCTTGCAGATTTTGTTTGAAGAAAGAAACATACTCTTTCTAATAAGGACAGGTGCTGAGTGTTTTTGTTTGACGAGGACATGGCAGCATTCACGTATGTTATACTGAAAACAAAAATGTTTTATTTTAAATGGTTGCCAGGACTTCTACTGCTATTGAGGCACCAACACAGCTTGCAGAACTCAGGGTGACATGAATACTATGCGATATGGTGAAGAAACTATTAATAAACAAGTTAAATTTCGTGACCTGTCAGCAATAGTGAGATGGATTATCCTGATACTGAGGGACCCCAGATTGAAAGAGAATCTCCCTCCAATTGGGGTTCAAGAAACTCACCTTATACCTCACATGATGACCCCAGTTCCTCTTATCCTTCTTATCTGCCACCAGTTCTTGAAGAGCCTTCGTCTTCTTTTTCTGAGGGTAAGGGATTAAGTGTGCTTTATTGATTGTAAACCTTAAGATTGACTGTCTTATATTTTGTATTGCTTTGTGCAGCTGTTGAAGATGATCGACTTCCAGCTATAGAAGGTCTCCAAATTTCAGGGGAAGCTTATCCAGGAAGGGAACTTCAGGCGTGTGGATATTCTATTAATGGAACAACCAGCTGTAATTTCGAGGTTCTTTTTCAGGATTTTTTTCCTACCCTCTATTTTGAACATCTAGTATTTTGGGTATTGTTATTTCTTGGATGTATTTGAAGATGCCTCGTATTAGCTAGCATTTCTCTTGATTCCCAAGTATGTATATATAATGTTGTAATGTGCTTGCCATGACAGTGGGTGCGGCATATGGAAGACGGATCTGTTAATTACATTGAAGGTAGTTTCTTGAGGCTCTTAAACATGTCTTCAAAATGTAACCCCTTTATTTATTGAACATGTTTCTAAAAGGGTTCTGAGTAACAGGAGCAAAGCAGCCAAACTATCTTGTTACCGCCGATGATGTTGATACCTACCTTGCTATTGAAATTCAGCCTTTAGATAACAGGAAGCGCAAGGTATTTACTTCAATATGAAATTTCCCATATTTGGAACCTTGTGTATTCAAGTGAAGTTTGTTGTCCTTGGCTTTTATTTTTAATTGCCTATGAATCTGTTATGAGGTCAGTGTGAATCTCATAAGCATCAATATCAAGATGAGTGTGGAAATGAGAAAGAAAACAAGTTTCATGTTGAACTATTTACCAGGGAAGAACTATTTAACAATAGACAACCATGTTGATTCATGTATTTGGTAGTTTTGCATTATGAAGTTTTCATATTTCTTTAATGTTTTGTACATGTATCAGTTGTTGTAACCTCATATTAGCAAAAAAAAAAAAATGCTGAAGCCAATTATTACTTGGCTCTTATATCTATTCCACTTGAGCGGAAATGATTAGTTCATCTATTTGATGGCTTAGCCTTATAGTAGAAGTATGTAGTTGGAATAGAAATTATGAGGCAGAGAGAATTCCAACATTGAGAATATGGGATGGGAGAGGGCTACTTCCTACTCTGTATCCTGAGATTATATTTACTGGGTAAACAGGATCAAGAAGTTAACATTTTGCGTTTCAAACATGAACCTTCAAATGGAGTGAGCATATTACATCGTCAATTGATGGCCATGTATTTGGGATTTGGTTGTATCATCACTTCATTTCTATCTTGCAAGAAGTATTTCCAGACTTGTATTTTGTTAAGGTCACGAGTTATGAATTGAGTCAGCTGGTGATTCAGGGAGAAAACTTGCTTCCATTGATAAAGCTTCAATCTTGCTTTAATTCCTGCCTTGTGAAAAACCTGTGATTAATAATATATGTAACTTGATGAAGGGAGCTCCTAACCTTAAAACTCATTGAAAGGAATTAATCTTAGACTCGTTAGGTTGAGAGAGTCTCAAACATCTATAAGTTGGAATATTTGTCTTATTTTATTACTAAGAATTGTCCCCTTAATAGAGGTTAAAGAAGGTTTTATTCTTTTAGAACAAGAAACTGAAATTAACTTGTAGAATAAGAAACTATAATTCGAGAAACTAAAATTAAGGGCTTTTAATTTAATATGATATTTGCTAAAATAGTTTCTAGTCAAGAATATTACTAAATAAAACATATTTTCTTTCTATTTTTGGTGCCTTTGACTTCTCATCTTGGCCACAAGGCAATTTTAACATATGTGCTTTCTTTTATTCCTTGCCTCATAGCACTTCTTACCCCATCATTTATCTTGTTTTGATGCTTAAAGTTTCGCATGCTCATACGATATCAGCAGGTGCCAACTGTTGAAGAGTAATTGGCATCTTAAAGATGAATATGATGATTATTTTTTGTAGATTTTGCAGTTACTTTTTTCGGGAATACTGTAGTCAGCAGTTTCCAAATATGCTCGAGGCACCACTTGCTTTGCACTTGGGAGACTATCTGCTTATTGTTGCCAATTTGAATAACTTGTTTTATGTCTCAATTCAGGGAGAGCTGGTGAAGGTCTTCGCCAATGAGCACAAGAAGATCACATGTGGTATTGATACGTTATGTTTCTTTAGCCTACCTTTTCACTTGTAATGAATGTAAACGAGATCTTATGAAATCAGAGAAAAATTTAGTAAGCTCTAGCTGATTGTAAGAGCAATTATTGTTCTTGCATTCTTTATTTTTTCCATGAAGAGTGCTAGATAGACAAAGAAGGATTTATTGATCCTTTTGTCTGATGGATACTTGCTCGATAACAGTACCCATGGCTCTCTGTCCCTCCATTACTCTTGTTGTCCAATCTTTCCAGTACACCTGTCATGACTCATGACTATCCATAGAAATAACCGAGTCCCACAGAAAAAATTGGTGATAATGGGTGTGTTGGAAATTAATTACAGAAGGATCTCTACCTGTACCGGATTAAGTTTTTGTTGCTTTTTTCTTGGACGTTTTCTTTGCCTTCTATCATTTGAGATGGATAGAATCTCTGTCTAATCCCTTTTCAACTACTTTTTCTCACCCCATGTTCTCTTTACTTTTAACAGATCCGGAGATGCAAGCCCACATAGAGAAGACTCTTCATAGTGGTCAAGCTTCATATAAAGTTTCATTTACGGTATGACTTCTGCACTTTTATTGTTGTTTATATTTGCCCCCCCCCCTGGTGTGGTAATGCTTCCATTTAGTTTTCTAGTGCTTATTAGTTTAATTCAATTTAAATGATATTACTCTCAAGTCTTTTTATATCACAGACAAGATATCTTGATATATGGGAACCAGCTACGTTGACCATTAAAAGAGACAGTTACAGTATCAAGTTTAATGGACCCAATGGTCCTTTGGTGACTGAAAAGTTTCACCCGACCACTCAGGTATGTCTAATAACTTGATTATTCTTTTGAATTCTTGTATGAGTGATATAAGACATCCAGGATGTTAAGATTTATAGTAATTTTCAGATTTGAATTGATTGTGGTCCTTGAGAAAAATAGGGATAGTAAATGATGAAAAGATAAGAAAAAAAAAACCCCTAAAGCTTCACACTCGTTTCTTGATTTAATAGCTAGCCTTCATAACATTAAGCTTTACATCTAGATGCTCTGTTCCCGCACAAGATTTATGCTCTATGGTTATTTTATTCCTATAATCATTCCAATCGATTTGGAAAAGCAAAGTTCATGATTAGGGAACTTTTAGAGACTTTCCTCTTTGGTGAGGAGTTGCTCTAAGCACTATGTGCGGTAACATTTCATTAAGGTTCTAATGCACATTAGCATAGAGGTAAATACCTTAGTGTACTAAGTTTCCCTTTGTTCAATTTATGAACCAAAGAAAAGTGGAATAAATGAATCTATCACTGTAAAGTTGGATCATTGCAGAAAACCAAATCTCACCACAGATCTTATTTTTGTAATGATGGGGATCCAGGATTATTCTAAGCTTAAACATGCAGACTTGGAGATAAATTCTCTGATCCAAACAATAATTAATATTCGCTTTATGAAGTATCACATCTTATTCTGTATATCTCGTCCTTAAAGTTCAGAAATTCTTTAATGCAGTAAAAAAATGCCTCAATGTATTTCCATGTATAGGTTTCTGATGCAAATAATAAAATTTATTAGTTACTGATTTTGATATATTATTTTCTCCCGAGGCATGAGATGGCAAGTGCTCTCTTAATTTTTTTTGTACATTTATGTATCTTTTTGTGTATTTATTATTTATTGGCATTACTTGGCAAGTGCTCTCATATTTTTATTCTTGTATATTTTATGTTGGTATAATTATGTATTTATTGTTTTCTCTAGATTAAAATTACATATGAAGAGCCTACAGAATTTATGATTATTGGATCAAATGGTGTTCAGCGCGTGTTACGAGCAGACAGTAGCCCTCAAGATAATAGCCGGTAAGTTCAAAATTTCTCTCGTAGATAAATAAACAATTGTTGATTACACATCCATAAACATAGTATATTTGAGAATAACATCTGAAAAGTTAACAATATTAACAGGATTCTACTAATATCACACAAAGTACTTTCATATAGTTCTAAGGAGACATCTTAATGTTTTGGACATGATGTTTTATCCTGAAAGTCTTGATGAACTGGATTTTGGGATGGAGGGGATTACTTCCCTTTCGGAACCTAAAACCCAATGCGCCTAATGCTCAATTGCTCATTGTACCGTTTATATTTTCACTCAGTTTCTAGAATTGCATCAAAGAACAACAAATTTAATAAATCTGGATGATATTGTATATTGATTCGCACTCACATAGGGTAAACTTTGATGTACACTATCGATGGAGGCTCACAGATGGCACACTTATAGGCTCAATTTTATGTGAAATGGATTCAATGTTTGACTGTATGATCCTCTTCTGCTTTGAAATATGAACTGAAAATGGATGCTATTCCCCAATTTTGGAAGGTTCTCTGAATCTCTTCTGCCACCTCTTTTCTCTATCGTGTTCGCTTGTGTGCGTGCATGCAAATTTAAATCCCCTATTTAAGCTACTCGTGTTTACCATTTTTCTCTCACTGGTATTTTGCATTCTGAGTTCATCGGGTAAAACCCTCAACTTTTTCCTTTTGAACTGAATGATATTGATACCAGATGATCACTGCAGTTGATTACTTGTTAAACTTATCTGTGTAATAATTATGTTAATTGTTTCAGAGGTAAAATCTCTATTATTTTACGTAGTTATAAAAAAGATTTTGTATAAAAATGATAGTGTTATAATCTAAGGAAGAGGGAAAGAATAAAAGAGGTAATGAAATAGAAATCTGTTTATTGAATTTAGGAGATTACAGTAGTTTAAATAAATTGAGCTGTTAACTTCTAATAAAACGTTTCTATTTAAGATAAAATTTGAGAGATTACAAAGACTCCTAAGACTTGTCAATTAATAGAACATTGATTTTAAAAAGAAAAGGAAAGCTTGCCATCTCAACGTATCAGAGTTTTAAAAAACGCGTGAAAAAAGTAAGTGCTCTAACCCAGGAGATTTCAAAATTCCAGGGCAGAGGGAGAGAGAATATGAGTGATGTTTAACAGCCTTCTCCATCGTCATCCGTCGCTTGCCGTCCGCTGTACTCCGACCACCGTCCGCTGCCTCACTCCGACCGCCTTTTGACACCGTTTTTCGCAAGGATCATCGTCTATCCATAGAGTTTCCTTTTTCCTGGTTTATTTTGATTGATTCCCCTTCAATCGGAGCAAATCTAAACGCTTTTCTTCTTCGATTTTTCCACCAGCAGTCCTCAAAGTTCGTTCCAGATGTGCACACCGGAAGCTCGTGACAAAAACCCAAGTATTAATCTGTGAACACCCACTGCCGTTCACCGGAATTTTACTGTGCAAAATTCCGTCACTGTTCAAGAGCTCTATTTCCAGAACGCTGCTGCTAGCTCTGGGTTTTCACGCAAGTTGGCATAAACTTATACATCTCTGGTTTTTCTCGTCCAAAATTAAACAGTTCGGAAGCCTCTGCATTCAAAATGACGATCAAGAATCGCGATGAAGCAACAGAGAAACGGGCTGAAACCTCAGCTTGCCACTCGCCAGACTAAGAATCGTCGTCAGTCCGAGATAGAGGAAAGGGAGATCGTAAAACCTTTGAAAAAACCAGATATTAAGGCAAAACGGGTGGATTTTATACTGTCGAAGGTGACTGAAGTGGAGCATCAAAATCAGAGAGATAGGCAGCATACAAACACTGCAGAAATCAGAGGAGGCGAGGAAGAAGCTGAGTAGTACAGTGGCAGCGGAAGAATATGAGAGGACGGTGTTGGTGACAAACAAGAATATGAGAGGTTTCCAAGGGCCTTTCAAAGGTTAGCCTGAGTAGTACATTGCGCAGATTTCTGAGGCGGAAATCCTACCACAGGATTCCCATGTTTTTAACTACTGGAGGAAGAAAGATTATCCAATAATCAACAATGGGTTTAGAACTGGCTGCTTTACGTTATACATTGATAATTTACCAGAGAAGATCCATTGGAAGCGGTTTGGATCGTTATTTTTCCCATACGATCAGGTTATTGACTCCTTCATTCCAACTAAAAGAAATTCAAAGGGGGGTACGTTTCGGTTTCATTCGCTTTGCTACAATTGGAGAAGCCCGGAGAGCGATCTCAAAAATGAATGGCGCTTGCATTGATGGTAGTAAAATTGGAGTCTCTTTTTCTAAATACAACACAAGATATTCTTTTTGGAGAAAGTCTTCGCCAGTTGTCCACCAAAAGCCCGAGAGGGAAAATGTTACAAGAAATCATCTCTATACAGTAAATGGTGTTGTTGACGAAGCTAAACTTCAAGTTTTGGATAACTGCCTAATGGGGTGGTGCAAGAACTATTCCAAAATCAACGATCTTGCTAGCCAAATGCAAGACAAAGGACTCAACGGTTTCTCGTTAATGAGAGCTGCTGGGAATGTAGTTCTCATGATATTCGAGGACTCTGATACGATAAGAAGGGTTAAGAATGAACAATCAGAGACTCTTGCAGGGTGGTTTTCTAGAGTTGAAGCTTGGTCGGAGAGTCTAGTGGTAGAATGCCGTCGAGTATGGGTAGTTTGCGAAGGGATTCCTTTTCACACGTGGAATTGGGGTATTTTCAAGAACATTGCGGAGGTGGGGCAAATTAGTATCAATTGATGAAAGCTCTTAGTTTCCTTCATCTTTTGATCGTGCAAAAATTCAAATCCTCATATAGACTAAAGTAAGGATTGATGAGTCCTTGAGTTTGAAGGTCGGTTCTAATTCTTTTGAAATCATGGAGCATGAAGTTAGCCTTCTTTCAAACCAAACTCTTGGATCCCTGAGGAAGTCGATTATTCCCCAGATCTGAATTGTTCTCTCGAGGCAACGTTGGAGAATTCTCTGTCAGGATCGTCAGTGTCATCCCCAGGTTTAAATTGCCCTGTCGAAGATGTTGCAATTGAAGGTCCCCACTTAGAAAAGGTTTCACTCATAAAGAGTGTCAAAAGCGATGAGAATCTAAGTAACAAATTGGGGTTGCACACAATGGAGGCTGTGGGTCATTTAAAATTAAATATCGTGGAGCATCTAGCTAATAAATCAGTTGATCATTCTGATGGTGTTAGCCTCAGGGCCTCAGAAGATGCTCTTATGATGGGTCTCATTACTTCTCATGGTTCATCTAGTGACACATTTCAATTAAAGGAAGATACCCCAGTGGTGCTCCCTATCCCTGCGAAATTAAGAACTAATCGTGTGGCGAAGAAATGCAAAACAGAGAAAATATTTCTGAATTAAGTGGCAAGGAAACATTGATTGAAGGGAAGTGTGGTTTTGGTTCATTGAAGATAATTTATCGAGCTGACTTTTTTGGTGATTTTGATACATGTTGGTATTTTGTGGAGTTCCCTTCAGAGGTGGATGCTCTTGGTTTTATGGTTTTAGGTGTTGCTTTCATGTATGTTATGTCATTAAATGTTGGGTTGTTTTCCTATTGATGGAGGTTTATCTTAGGTATAGGGTGATTGCCTCTTGATTTTTGTGGTCGAGAAGGCGAGAGTTTTAGGTGATTATGTTTTTTGTAATGGCGTTTATCCTTGTTTGAGGGTATTTCATGTTTTCATATGTAATGAGGTGTTTTATTCAATGAAATATGAGGTACTCTTTTCTTCCTTCCTATGTTCGTTAACATACTTCTTAGTATGTGGACGAATACGAAGGGAGTTTTTAATGAGACCTCCAACTTCTATAAAAAAAAGAAAAGAAAAGGAAACAATATAAATTATGCTGCTACTTTCCGTTGTAAAGATGGGTTACCTATAGATAGGACTCATTTGTGCACTACCAACTAGTGAAGCTCTTAACTACAACCCATTTTAGAAATGTGCTTAATTAAATCCTGCGGCCAAGAATGAGCTCAGGCTAACCTGTGAAAGGCCCTTGGAAACCTGCTTCTGCATACCTCTTCATATTTTTTTTAAAGATTAAGGAGGGATAGATGTCCAAAAGTTGTATATCTGTCGTCAGTTTCAAGAGTGAAAATCTACAACGGTGTTTTGTGTGATTCTGGACATCGTTTCAGCTGTGACTGATCTTCTGTTCTAATATATAATACCAATTATTGCCAACTTAGTGTCCGTCTTATTTTAATTTTCAAGATTGTCTTCATCTATAATTTAGACAAGGTGTACTGTGTTTATTTGCATTCATGGTGGTTGTGTAGAGGTATAAGTGTATCTATATTTGCATTTCATTTGTGCAGCTCAAGAGATACAATTGTGCTCACCTTGAGATTATTTATAATACGGGTATTACTCTCCACTTTCTATACTTGTATTTTTACACTCTGAAAAGTGAGAATTGTTATGCTCACATGCACACACCTACATAGAAGCCTAATCCTGATTAGGAGCTTCAAACTATTTTCTTTTTGGCATACTGGATATGTGAGTATGTCAATATTTTAGTATGGTTTTTGGCATGTATAATCATATGTGAGTTTCACGTCATGCTGGGCATTGAATTTGACCCATTGTTACCCAAAATGAATAGGAATGGGTGCTTTTTCCTTATGTTTTTGCACTGGGGTTGTAAGTTTGGTTGTGGTTAAAGATAGAGAACCATTAGTTGTGGGCTCCATTAAATATTTGTTAGCTTTCGGAAGAATATAATGTGATAAAAGAAGCTGGATAAGCTGTAGGACTGAAGTTAGTGTTTTGATAGGTTTCGTTGGCTGAAATTTTAAATAATTCTTGCATTGTTTTAAACCCTCGTGTTCACAAGAGGATCTCTCTTTTTAGCTTTTGCAGGCTGGTGAGAGAAGAAAAGGGAAGAAGAGAGGAATACTCTTTTAACAAGGCATACATGGTTCATTCACCGTGCGGTTGAGTTAGAAACCTTGGTATTGAGATTGTGTAGAATATATATTTGAGAATGCCCCCTCTAGATTAACTAGTTAACTTGTTGGTAGCTAGCTTTAGTGGTCTAATATTCTTTACAGGCAGCAATGTTGAGTTGTAATTACATTTTGATTCGATAATTTCCATCTTCATTGCTGTCTTATCTCGCTTAATCACAAGATGGTGTCCGGGAGTTTTTTTTTTTTTTTTTGTATTACTTTCCGACCCCTTTAGAGGTCGTGTTTACAGGAATGGTTGGTCATTTTTGTGATATATACGCTGTGGTTCTTTCCTTTTTCTCATTCATAATCAGAGTTCTGGCAAATATGATTGCTCCTTTTTTTAGTCGATTCTGAATCAATGCGGTGGGGGTTACATTACTAGTAGATTTTTGGTTTGGTTTTTGGGGGGGGGGGAGGATCTAATTATATGCTCCTAGTCTTTAAATTCATTGGAATTTTGAGATTTGTCTCTACTTTTAATTCTAAGTGGGTGTTCTTAAAATTGCTTATGTGACATTTTAAATGTTTTTATTATAATGTTTAGTGTAATTGCTTACGTACAAGGAATTTTAATTATACAAAAAGCTCATAATGTTTAGTGTAATAACACAAAACATCACTCGATTACACAAGTATTACTATCTTAATAATATTTTAGTGTTAAAATTGTTTTGGGTGGTAAAAAGAATGTTATTCTCCTTATAAGATTCGCATTCCGGTGGTAAAGAGTGTTGTTTTCCTTATAAGATTCGGGTTCGAGCAGTTACATTTATTGTTATTGTTAGCATTATCATTTTAGAAGTCTATGTTAGTTCAATCCAACATTGTTATCTTTCGCATTTCACAAATCACAACAGTATTGTTTATAAAGAGAAAACACGAATGATGCCGTAGTTATAGCTCCTGTGTTCGGCTGCTGCCATTTTGGAGCGAGAGATAAAGTCATGTTCTTGGTGGTGAATATTTCCATGGCTACTTCTCTTTGTTAGTAAATAATATTTATAGTATTGACTAATAAATTTAATATACTGATAAAAGAAATAAAATAATTTATTGTTCTGTAATAGAAGATACTGTCTTATAAATAATTTCATTTAGATTAGTATAATTACTATAATGGGATATTACCCTTTAAGATTAATATAGTTTTTCAAATTACGTACATTCGCAACGATGAAGTGGAACATATTTGTATGGCTTTCTTTTACAGATTTTTTTCTTCCAAAAGGAACTTAACCAAAATTATATGTATCAAAGAGGGAGAGTAACTATCTATTTATAATAATAGAGAAATAAAATTATCAAATGATAATTACTCGCTCCAATCATTCTCTAAATACGAATAACACACTTTTTAAATTATTCTTAATATTTACATTAGACACACTGAAGAATTCACCGTCAAGGCTGGATGAACTTCTAACCGGATCTGAAGACGAGTCCAAGTTTATAAGCCAAGGCTCCTAGTATTAGGTGAACATTCAGTGGCAGATCCACTCCTAGTTTAGGTAAGTATGTGCCCATCCTATTACGTGAGCATCTATTCTATGGACGGTTCATCTTAAAATTTTATTTGTGATTATTTCTACATAAATTTTTCACATAAATATTATATTATTAATATATATAAATTCACCTTAAAAATATTTCTAAATCTACCCGAGAAAATCCTCAAAACCATCAAACAGTTGGAGATAACTAAGTATTGGCCATGCACCACCTACTTTTGGCGCAGATTTTCTGTTATCAAAGTTGAACGAATTTACGTGTGTCAAATTCGGTGCATAGATGCAGGATTTCATATTTAATTATTTATATTATAAATTTAAGGTACGAAATTATAAAATTTTAAAGAATAAAATTAATTTAATAAAGAAATATAAAAAATTAACTAAATTATATAAAAATTTAAAAATTATGAAAAGCAGTCCCTATCACCTTTAGCCCATCCCTAATTGTCATAAGAAGAAGGCTCTAAGAAAAAGTTGACAATATAATAAAAATATATATTTTAGGAGGCAAATGGATGATTAAGCCTTATCGACGTTGGGACATGTCCTCATCCCTTGCTCCCTAACAAAGGTCATCAAAAGGTAGGTCAAGCTTGGGGTGTTGGACCATCATTCAATCCCATTGTTATGCGTATCCAAAACACTATGAACCAGATACTACTACCATCTTTATGACAATAACGAGAGGCAAGACAAGGAGTTTTCATCTTTGTCTGTATAAAAATTGCAAAAGAAGCAACAATTTCTATTATTTACAGCACAACCAAATAGATTTGTGCTTTTATCTGCCCTCAGCTTCATCATCTCTACTAATGCAGTATACAATCTTGATGGCAAAAACCATAGAAGACTAGCCCCGTTGAAATTCACAAGCACAAATAACATGAACAAACAGACAAAACCATAACCACAACAAAAGCATACATAGTATAAGCACATATTAAATGATCCAAAATGCGTGTCAAAACATTTCTAAATTTTGTTCATGTTATAAGCAGAACACAATCCCGTCTTCTCCTTCTGGAGTATATCCTGCGTTTGGGATAAAATATTTGCAGATGGGGAAGGCTAGTTTCACCCTTTTACTTGTGGGTCTTATGGATATGCTCGGGAGTATTGTGCCACTACAACTGCTCCATAGGATATAATTCGGATAAAATGCTAGAACGATACGAACGATGGCTGAGCCGACATGAACAGAAGTACAAGAACAAAAACGAATGGGCGTTGCGGTTCGAGATTTATAAGTCCAATGCTTTGTTCATAGATTGCATCAATTCTCGGAACCTATCGTACAAGTTGGTTGACAATAAATTTGCAGACAATGTTAAATGATGAGTTCAGAGCTTGTATTTGGGTTACCAGAGGTTAAGGTTTCAAGAAGACAAATATCACGATTTGCCAAAGAGCATAGATTGGAGAAAGAAAGGTGCAGTGACTGGTGTCAAGGATCAAGGCACCTGTGGTATGACTTATTTGCTTTGCCGATGAATTGCCAAATTTAAATTAATGTGTTTCATTGATGCCAAGCATGATTTAACATCACCTACCTTGTGATGATACAGGAAGTTGTTGGGCGTTCTCGGCGGTGGCGGCCATAGAAGGGATCAATCAAATTAAGACCGGAAAGTTGGCATATCTTTCTGAACAAGAACTTGTTGATTGTGACACCAGCTCGTTTAACGAAGGCTGCAACGGTGGAGACATGGTCAAAGCATTCGAATTCATTATAAAGAGAGGTGGAATTGCCGCTGAGAAAGACTATCCATATGAGGGAAAAGACGGCAGCTGCAAGTAGAGGTGCACAAAAAATCCGAATATTCGATTTTGGGTAAAAAATATCTGAAACCGGATTTTGAAAAAACCGGTTTTTTTTAAACCGGATCGGATATTTAAAAACCGGATAGTATAACCGGTTTGAGAAAAAATTGAACGACCGGTTTTTTTACCGGATTAAAAACCGGTTTTTTTCAAACCGGATAAAAAAACCGATTTTTTATCCGGATAAAAAACCGGTTTTTTTAAAAAACCGGTTTTTTAACCGAAAAAATCCGGTTTTTTTTAAAAACCAGTTTTTTGCAAACCGAAACCGGTTACACCGGTTACACCATCCGACCCTCCAAACCGGTTAGGATCCGAACCGGTTTTTTTAAAATCCGGTTTTTGGGTTGGGAGAAAAAACCGGATCGGTTTTTATCCGATCCGGATCGGATTGAAATCCGGATTCTATGCATCTCTAGCTGCAAGGACAAAGAAGCTAGAAATTATGCACCTACGATTAGTGGATACGAATTAATGCATAAAAACATGGAGAAAAGCCTGCTAGTTGGAGTTGCCGAGCAACCTGTATCAGTTGCCATCGACGCAGAAGGGTATGAATTTCAATTCTACAGAAGCGGTGTCTTCACCGGAGATTGTGGATATCAACTCAACCATGGAGTTACAGTAGTCGGCTATGGAGAAGATGGCAGTAAGAAGTACTGGCTGGTTAAGAATTCCTGGGGCACCTCCTGGGGCGAATCCAGCTACATAAGGATGGAACGTGAAGTCTCTGATGAAAGAGGTATTTGCGGTATTGCTATGGACTCTAGTTACCCTGTTAAGTGAACATCATTTCAGCGAAATTGGCTTGGTAATTCTGTTTGTTTTTAAAATTTTCACTTTTTTCATATTCTACAATAATATTTTAAGAATACATTAATAATACATGCTGAGAAAATATATAAACTTGCACAATATATGTGGCTTTGCACTAATGTAATATAGAGGTAGATTTTTTTTCATCTTATTTAATTCATTTTATTTACTTCATTGGTTATACACATAATAGTTGATATATATATATATATATAAACAACTTGAAAACATCCCACCCTAAGATGCTCAAAATGAAAAGATTCAAACCACAATAAACCAGTATGAAGCATAGCTTCACATTTATCAAGAACTTTAACAAAAGGCAACACAATAGCCAATCTAAGATTCATTTGTAAAATATTGTTTGGATCACCTAGCTGATGACAACAGATTTCCGAACACACATTTTGAACTCAAGGATTCAAGCATCCAGTGAATAGCAATATACCATTGCAAGAAGAGTAAAATCCATATAATGCAAAATCAAAATTGGGACTTGTCAAGGCTGTCAAAATAAGGATGATCCATTGCTGCTTTTGCTGATATTCTCTCTGCAGGATCATATTTAAGCATTTTCTGCAATAACCAAAAAGCAGCAAGTTATTAGCCTCCACAATGTGCAAGTAATGCAGAGGGAAATCAATAAATCATGAACATGAAGATTTATGTGTTATAATGTTAAGAAATCATTTACAACTTGAAACTGACCTACTTGCAAGAGGCTAAGGAAATAGAAATTAAACGAGTAAATGGCAGGCACGAATGCAAATACATTCAGTTCCTTCCTTCGCTGTGCATATACCTATGCATAAAGATCAGTCGACAGATATAACTGACAAATTTAGTGTATACTGCTAATTGTTTGTTCCTATTCTTTAAATAGTCTTTTACTTTTGAATCACTTAAACCATTGGTATAGTCCTAAATAACATGCAATGAAATTCATTCCCTAGTGGATTCTAATTTGCTTCAATGATCTTTCTATCTATTTTCTCTACCTTTTTGGTCCTAATCACAGGGCCGGAATGTTAATATTATGATAGAGTTCATCCCCCCCACTTTCAACATACTTATTACTTCCCCGTTGCAAGACTGCAACTGTGAGTTGAAGACCCTTTAGGCCTCCTGAGAATTTAGACCTTATA